TCTCTCTCTCTCTCTCTCTCTCTCTCTCTCTCTCTCTCTCTCTCTCTTGTTAAAAGTAAATCTAGCTCACCCAGCAGTCAATCTCTCTCTCCCTGCAATCATGCAATCAACTTATTCATCGAGCCAGATCATCCAAACAAGATGGTCTTTCCTTAAATAGAATTACAATGACAGTGGTCTAAATGAATGGATGTATTGTTCTACACGGCAAAAAATAAACACGATAGAAACATAGGATACGATATGTTTCATATTGCACGCTTTGAGCAATAAACCCACGTGTGCAATTTGTAGTAAATATAAACGGTTGGGTGTACTGTAAATAATAAGCGATCTGGGCATTGAATATGTGTTATAAAAATATATATACTGTATATATATTAGAAATTAGAATATTCCTTGACAGCCCCAGTTCCTACATGCTGTCATAACAAGTCATTATCATAATCTAAACTCGGCAGTTTCACTTATTTACACTTCTATTTGTTTCTTAAATTACCTTCATAAGGCTGCTATATGACCACAGATAAGTCATATGGCACTTTGGTTGAGATTATTGTCATATTTGAATGCATGGAATTTCCCCACTCACTAGAACTGATACTACTGCGTCTTTGTTGACAATGTGTGTGCTGATATCCAGTGTACGGGCAACAGCGAGAGGGTGTTGTGGCAAAATGACGAGAAGAGATGGCGAACTGATGTACACACTTGCCAACATATTACAAGTTCAGCATATCGAAACAATCCAAATGTATTACTTTTCACAGATCACTTCTATAGTCAAGATTCACCCCCCTTAAGTTACTTTCCACCAATCAAACCAGTCCGTTGAACCAAAAACAAAGCACATCTGGTCTCTTCATTAGGTCATATTCTCATGTCCTTGTTCAGGTCACCTTAACCTTTTGGCAGAACACATGATCCATGTACGGGAAATGTTTTGATACAAATTGGAGAGATTTATTACAATTTGTCTGGCGCTCCCTAATCACTTCCTAAGAATGTTGTTATGAACCAGAATGTGTGTTACATAACATGTTATATAAACGGGTCGCTTGTGAGTCCAAATGTGTTCAGTTCAATCTTAAGTTATATGATGATTTTCTTCAACAAGGGTTGCATTTATACCAATCACCAATTATTATAATTCATTCCCGAATCATTTTACATGGTTTTGACAACAGACACTGCACGATGAACAGAGTTTGTATATTCAACATCACAAGAGGGAACAAAAATGCAAAATAAACATGTTAATTTGCCTCTCTATAAATTGAAGGGTTCTTATATTTTAAAACAAGTATGTATAATGCTTGTACACTTTTCCAATCAGCCCTGCCCCTCCATGAATGACATTGCCAACTAAAACCAGTCTAATACA